ACATACATACATACATACACACACATAAGACATACATACATACATACATACATACATACATACAGACAGACAGACAGACAGACAGAAACACAGACAGACAGACAGACAGACAGACAGACAGACGGACAGACAGGCATACGTACAGACAGACAGACAGACAGACAGACAGACAGACAGACAGACAGACCGACCGACAGACAGACAGACAGACAGACAGACATATGTACGCACGTACATACATACATACATACATACATACATACATATATACATACATACATACATAACATTATATTACATTACATTACATTACATTACACTACACTAATTACACTACACTACATTAAATTACATTACATTACATTACATTACATTACATTACCTTACATTACATTACATTACATTACATTACTCTACTTTACTTTACGTTACATTACGTTACATTACATTACATTACATTACATTGCGTTGTGTTATATTACATTATACATTAGTTACATTCCATACATGCATGCATGCATGCAGACAAACATACAGCGTTACTTTACATTAAACTTCATTACCTTGCGTTGCATTGCATTTCGCTGTGTACATACATGCATTTTTGGCACTCGCACTCGACAAGCAGGCGAGGGTTCGGGAGGTCTGAGAAGTACATACATGCATACATATGTACCGATGCCCAAAGAATTGAGAACATCTGCCACATAGTTTCCACGAGTGGCCCAGATTTCTCAGGCATCGAGGTACAGCACTCCCGAACACAGCCAAAGCAGGCTCAAGCAAGGTATCCGCTTAAAGGGTGCTTAGCTCCCACAACAGCAGGCGAGACAAGCCCATCAGGTCCTCAGGACGACATAACTGCTGAGACCTTTTGGAATTTGCGCGCCGTCTGCCCATTATCAGTAGGATGGACTATGGCTCTGCTCCTCCAAGCGACAGCATTGTAAGACAAGTCATGTTGGAACCGAAGAAATGCAAAAGTGCGTCTGGGAACGACGAGTTCCCATGACAAACACCATAAAAAGTCAGAGCAACAAGACGTGTCTGCAGCAACGAAGGTGTGGGTGTAACAATCAACGCATGCAGAAACGAGACATGAAACTCCTGCGCAGCTTAACGCAGTCCTCGAGAAAAAGCTTTGCAAAGGATGACACAACAAAATGGCTGTGCCTATCATGTAGATCCCCAAGACAGCTTATGTTCAAGGACATCAACGATAAGACCCCCGTCGAAATCCTCGCCAAGGACACGGGAGTTGTATTGTACGAAAACCAACCTAATGCATCAGGCTTACGGGGTTCGCCCCTTGCCAGGCCCCTGCCAGGAGTTCCCGTCAATCATAACCAAAGTGCGGCAAGGCGGCGGGAAACCCCTAAACCCGGCAAACCCAGAGCCTCACTCAACAATATCATTTTAATTCCTGAAAGCCCAGGGCTATAACGCTTATAGAGGCCTTTCAGCCTTAACATCCACAAAACTGAAGCACCAGAACCGAACAGGTACTGAGGCTCTAAGGACTCAGATTTCAAGGTTTTGAGGTCCAAAAAGCCATACTCCTGAGGTTGATGATCCCAAAACCCAAAACTCCGAGCCCCGGCAGCCTGCGGTGCCGCCGGGCAAGGTGGCACCTTACGATTCACGTTTAGGGGTTAGGGTCTAGTACGGTTTCTATGGCGAAGGGTCTGGGTATGTCTGGGTATTGGTTTTGAAGGGTGGTCGGGCCTGTTCGGGATCTACCCTCTCTACCTCGCACTCCGCTGGCCTGTGATGTGTTCAGCCTCCCCGGGTGTGAAGTGGTTCTGACATCAGCGAAAACCTTGTTACGCAGACTTCAAAATTCAATGCTGCTGTCTATTCCACACATGACACAGAGTGAATGGGTGGAAGCCCACGCACCTGAACAAGAAGATGTAAGATCTGAAACCAGCCTCCACCAAAACCTGCTGGCTTCAATGTCAGAAACCCTTAAGACGCTGAGGCACAGGCTCAAAACACAAAAAGAAAGGTCAAGGCCTCCACTCAACTCTGTGGATTTTTACAGATCCCAAAATCGAGGCACCGGATCCGAGGAACCATACCTGCGGCCGGGTCTTGCAACGGTTGGGGTAAGCCAGACGTAGCGGCCACCCCTTTGCACCAAGTAGGGTCTAACTCGGGCTTAAGAAGTTGGCGATGGCCATTTCCATTTTCTCACCGCGCCCACCCCGAACAAAATTACAGACCCGAAGCGAGACCCTTCAACAAAAACCCTTGTTGCATTTCATCTGTCGGCGGAACCCTCTGCTCTCGGCATGCCTCCCCGTACCGGCGCCGATCGTGACTTTCTCAACCTCATTCTTCGGATCCACCTGTCCAGCTAGTTCCGATCTTCAGCGTCGATGATCAATCACAACACAACTTGATGTAGCTAGCTTCACGGCAGCATGCCTTTTGCGGGATTCACGGGTGGATTCTCTGAACCAACGTTTGCATCCATGAACTTCCTGGGATTGCATATATCTTCCCGGGTCAGTGATTACTTGAGTCTTTGGATGTCTTTGGCCTTTGTCCACGAATCGTTCATGCCTGCATGCTGGGCCATGCCCGCCGGCATATGTATGCGTACACAGAGACAGACGGACAAAGGACAAACAAACAAACGACCGACCTACACACTGGATTGCAGACACAGGTACATCATGCGATTCTGATAATTAATCACTGCCTGGGCCATCAAGCTTGCAACAGCATGAACTTTTTATCTGATGGCTAGTTGCGGAATGAACGGGGCATCTCCAAACTTCTGCCCTTGGCGGTCTCACGATGTCTCACTCATTCAATAACCGACGAAGGTACCGCTCGGTACTCGAGCCACGCACTGTCAAGTCCCGCAATCTAGTGCCGCACTTCGACGATATGACCAGCGCAATGCCATTAAGGACAACAACCACCGAGCCTCGAAGCTGGAGATCTGAGCCTTCATCTGGACCTGGCAAGACTGCTTCAACATGTTTCACGATGCTCACTGGCCCAGACAGCAGGCAGTGACATCCATTCATGAGTAAAGAC